TATATATATATATATATATATATATATATATATATATATATATATATATATTATGTTGAAGAAGGTTGTAGCCATCACCCATCTTTAAACAAGTCCCAACTTTTTGGTTGTATGAATCGCAAGTGGGTGGGGGAAGAATAACACCAGAGAAGATCGAAACCACCAAAAAGGAATAGAAAAAGAAAAGAGAAGACAGAAAATATTCCTATAAGTGGGTTTTGCAGAAATTCTGATTTGGGGAATATATTTTTTAGATGGGAATTATATATATATACACACATAAATATGTATACTTACAGACAGTTACAAATTTACCTGGCCAACTATTTCTTATATCATGTAATACTAAATTATCTAAAATAACATTCCTAAGAATAATCTAACAATGCATTAGATATGTATATTGTATTTCCTTCAAAAAAAAAAAAAATTGGCTTCTTACCTATACATGCAGTTTGTAACCAGAAACAAAGGTTTTAAATCCAGTTTAGACCATGAAAATGATTTTATTTTTTTTTTCCCCTTTTTATACAAAAAAGATAAACGTTACAGAATATTTATTCACTGATCTTCTACGGTTTTCCATTTTCACTTTTAATTAAGAGGATATGAGATTTTTATTTTTCTAATGAACAGGATTAGAACAAGTCGGGGTTTTAGTTAATTAATGAGCCAAATTGTGGAATAGAATGGGAAAAAATGATATAAATATACGATTATGCAGTCTAAGTGAGTTAACCGTTTAATTTAAAAAGACATTAATTTTAAGTGGTAACTAAAACTGACCCAAGACCAGCTAATAAAAGTCAGTTTTACCCTGCCAACAACTTCGGTCAATATGAATAACACATATCAGTTAATTTTCATCAGAAATGTTCGTCCAAATTGATGGCAAAGTGGTTAGGCCAGATTGAATCAAAGTCAAGGCTAAACCCATAATTACCAGGCTTACTGAACCCAAGTTCCACTGATTTCGTTGGTTTGGTTGGACAAATAATGCATCAACTGAATTTTTTTTTTTATATTTAAATTCTAAAGTACTAAATCTTCCGTTTATACTCTTATTAAATATAAGTAAAATTGATAATTATAAATTTATTCAAAAAAATAATTTACAATCTAATTGTTTATATATTCCTTTCATTTTTAGTTAATTAATTCATAAATATTACATTATGATCATTTTTTTCCTTAATTTTTATTTTAACTACATTATGATCATTAAACTCATGAGTTTAATAATTAATTTAATTTAGATTCAATAAAAAAAAAGTTCATTGGTAAAATACACGGTGATTTTCAGTACAGAAATAAAAATCAATATTCTGTATATATATATGTATAATACACAATGTTATCTTTTCTTTTTATTTAAATTTGATATCTAATTTTCGATAATTTTTTATTTTTTCTTTTGGTAAATAAGTGTTAAGTCACTTTGTCTACTGCAGAACACATTTGCATTTTATTTCAATATCAATGTACTTGCTTAACTTTCCAGAAATGAAAACAAGAAAAAGTCAAAATTAAGTTTTTTCTAATCCCAAGTGAAATTTGTAGCACTTCTTGCGAAGGGATAAGCTATATGACATGAGTTGGGTCAGAAAAGACTAATTGTACATGTTGGAATGAATTTCAGGAGGCAGTTAAAGGACTAAGATGGGGTGAGCAGTTTTCATCAACTTGATGTTTGGCGTTAAGCTCAGGGGACATAGAGATTAAACTAAGGATGGTGCTATTGGTCGGTTCTAGCTTCGCGATTTAGTTACGGTGATTAGCTCAAGCATGGGAAATTAACAGAGCCCATTCATTTGTCAAAAGTCTCTGTTGATATTGATGGATAATTGGTGATACATTCAGTGGAAGATGTTTTGGGTCAATCGGCTAAGCAAATGGTTTAGCTCATAACCTTGCGCACAATATGTTTTGAAGAGAACAGCGATTATGTGTTTTTATGATATTTTTCCCTACTTTCATATAAGAGTGTAGGAGATGTAGTATACGGGTACACGTGGCACACCCCGCATGTCATTTTATTGGGCTCGAGTCCATCATCACTAATGATACTATGTGTCTCGACAGCAAAACTCATAAGAAGAAATGGCCCCACGGCCTATTCTCACCTAACCCATAGGTTTAGTCAAGAGAATGATAAATCTGCGTGTCTCGAGTGCAATACTGATAATTACATTAATGAATTCCAACTACCATCGCTTTTGGAAAAAATGTGTATTTAATGTAATAACACCCATTCTCAAGTCAAAGGACCAGAATGTCTTTATTAAAGCCTGTAGGGTCATGATGATTATTCTAGGAGAGAGGAATTTCGACGAACCTTGAAAATCAAGTAAAGATTTGAGACTATAAATAGAAACTTTCATGCACGAAAGAAGAGGACTTTTTGGTTGATCCTCCATTATATCTTGTATTTAGATTTCGTCCTCCTCCGTCATTTGTAATATTGACGTATAATCAAATTTAATCTTGTATTATGAAAGTTTTTCATAAAAAAAAAAAAAAAATTAATTAAGAAGAATGGACTTTGTGGTAAACTTACTAGTATCTGGTTGATGCATTTAATGTAAGGAGTTTATCGTAAGAATATGGGGACACTTTCTTGGAAGCCAACCCTCCTCTCAACTTTGTTTGCTTTTTCGTTTTCAGTTTTTCCCAAACTCGAAAAGCATTATGAGCTGAAATTATTATCACTCATCACACCCATCAAATTATGCATCCTATCAATCGGACGGTCATGATGAGAACATGTTGTTTGCTGTATCTCTCTTATGTGAGGTACAGATTCATTTTCAATGATGGGTGTCCAATCAATCCACATTATACATGTACAAAATTAGACATATATATAATATATATACATACATGATCGATGATATATATATATATATATATATATATATATAGTCCCCACATACATTTAAACTTGGAGTATTTCAGAAGAGCAAGTAATTCATATTTTAGGTAATCTCTTCCGAGTCTATTAAATGCCACGCGGCTTTAATCATATGGTGTGACGATATCTCAAAGATACGTACGTATCATCTTTAACTGTCAAGAACTGTGAATGTGAAGTGTTGAGAGAGGTGGAATTAAACACATACTTATAGTTGAGCCCCATATACCAATTACTACCTGCTTTCATAACATTACGTGTAGAGATAGAAGACGTGAGAATTCGGATTTTAGGGTTAGGGTTTTGTGGTTTGGCATTTGTAAGGAATGAAATCAAATATAATAATTATAATTATAATATGTAGTGTGACGGTATGACAAAGACAGACTATTAATCTACAACCCTAGTTGTGCTATCAATATATATATATCATTAAAGTCTGATGTTAAAAAGTATTTAAAAAAGCAGAAAAGCATAACTGTTCACTTTTTGTTCTGATGGTTGTAGCGAACTTTGGGTGTTGTTGAACTGAATCCATCCATCCAAAAGGTTAGATATAGAATTTTCTTTTCCTTTCTCCCAAACAGCAAACACATGTAGATGTTATCCTCCAGAAAAGAAAGAAATTAAGGAAATAGTATAAGTATATAGTACAAAGTTCATGAAAAGTACTGGTGAAGAAATATGGGTGGGTAAAGTAGAAAATAACAAGAGAAGTGTCATGATTTTCCACCTACAATTCAGTGGAGGTAGACTGTAAAAGATTCTTTGTGTGGGTTATCAATAAAATAACACTAGTTTTCAATGTTTTCTTTTTCCCTAGTTTTTTCAGTTTTTCTGACCTGGTCAATGTGTGGTAAGGGAGCCTAAATTTAGATTTCCTTCATCTCCTAAATAAAGTATATATAATTTTTTTTAAATTAAAGAGGGTTAAAAAAAAGACAAAATTAGTAATTTTAGAAGTAAATTTAAAAGGTGCAGTTTTAAGGTCAAATTAAGAACATAATAAGGTACTATACTTAAGTTCTTAACCCAATACCTTTAACAAGATATAATTTTGCAGTATGATTTAAATTATTAATAATAATTTTATAATCTAGCCATTAACAATTATTATAATTTTTAAAAAGTAAAAAAAGAGTTATTTCATTGTACAAAAAAATTGAAAATGATTACTGTTTAGAAAACTCCACTGTGACCGTCACTGTTTCGAAATAAAAAATTATTTAATAGATATATATATCCAATCTTACTTTCACATATAAAAATAATAATTTTTTATTTCAAATCAGTGACTGTCATAGTAGAGTTTTCTAAACAGTGATAATATAAAACGGTTGTTGTGGCTATTTATTTGGTTGCATATTTGAAAATTTTATTTTATTTTTTGTGAAAAAGAGTCGTGAATTTATTATTATAATTATCTGTAAGATATTTTTATCTTATTCTTGTATATATATATTTTTTTTATTATTTGTAGCTTAATAGTATTTCTTCTCACTTTCAAAAAAAAAAAAAATAAAAATAAAAATAAAAAATAATAAGAGGGTTAATGTTCCACAAGAGTCAAAGTGATGCAACATCCCTCTAATTCGTTGGTGCATTCCAACAATGATCTTGCTTTTTATTGGTTGCCAGTCAACCTGATTATTAAATTTCTTATTTTTTAAAATAATTAGTGAAATTAAGATTAAAATGATCCATGATATAGATCTTAACTCTAGCTTGTACTATATACATATAGAGAGAGAGTAGTATGAGTCTGAGTCCTGTCATTTCAAATACAAAAGAAGATAAAATTCTGTGGTTTAGATTAAAGATTGAATACAAAATACTCTTGATAAAGTCTGTATATTTTTTCATTTGTTTAATTCTTTTAAAGCTTTTACATTTTTTTGTTTTTTTGTTAAAGCTTTTACTTACAACACACTTAACTTTGATTTTTGTCTTCCTTTCAGTGTAAATCTAAACTTCTTTTTCACACACAGTCACACACCTCCGTTACTGTCTACAGGAGACTTTCTCTCTCTCTCAAACTCTCTTTCTGTGTCATATATGGCGACCCCACTCTGATCTTTTTAGTGGAAATGTGAGCTGAAGCCAAGCCGCCTCTCTTTTAGAGATGAATTATGCTTAAAAGTTCACTCCTCTCCTCTCCTCTCCTCTCCTCTTTCATATCTCTCTCTGTCTCTCTTTCTTTGAAACCCTAATTCAACCCCAATCCATATAAAGCAAAAACAAATCCACAGTACCAAACACAGATCTCGTCTCTGCAACCATCAATTTCATCATCCCCAGTTCCCTTAATTCTCTTCTTTACTCCTACCCTTTTGCTCACAGACAAACAAGGAAAAAAGCATGAAAAAGGACCGTTGGGTTTGCAGATCAGAGTTTTAAATACGTGAGTACTTTCTGAAATCCCTTCCAGAAACTCTCTCTCTTTCTAAATATCTATCTGTGTCACTGTTTCTTTTTACAGCTTCTCTTAAATGGGTTTGTAAGCAAATCTCTCTCCAGATTTGTCTCCCATACGGTTATTCCCTTTTTTGTTCTCTCTCTGTATATTTATTTCATTCTCTCTCTAGAAGAGACATGGATTCTGGAAACAGTGGGAGTCTACAGTCATCATCAAGTGGTGGTGGTGGTGGTGACGAAGAGTACGATTCACGCGCCGAATCGATCTCAGCTTTCTTGAACCCAACCGCCCATATCGGTCACATGTCTGACCCACCACCACCGCATCACCACCACCTCCACACCACCACCACACCTATGTTTGACTCACTATCCAACTATTTCGATACCATATCACGACCACCACAACCACCACCTTTTTCAACTCCAAACGCTCTTCTGAATCTCGACATGGTCTGGTCCAAGACCCTAAGATCTGACCCCAATTACACCCAGATCAACCCCATCTTAGCCTCCTCCACATCGCCCACAGTTCCATATCGTCCGGTGACAGAGGTTACACCATCATCAGCAGCAGCAGCAGCAGCCAGCTCTGATCAGACGGCCCACGTTGCACGTAACCCGAAGAAGCGATCCAGGGCGTCGAGGCGTGCACCAACCACAGTCCTGACCACAGACACCACCAATTTCCGAGCCATGGTTCAGGAGTTCACTGGGGTCCCAGCACCACCCTTCACATCCTCACCCTTCCCTAGAACCAGACTTGATCTCTTCGCTACACCCTCCTCCATCAGATCCAACCCATCCTCCTTGTCCATTTCACAACCACCCTATCTTCTAAGACCTTTTGCTCAAAAACTTCAACCACCAACAACATCATCACTGTTCATGACTAATTCCTCCTCGTCTATGCTTGATCATAATATTGCTTCTACTAGTACTAACAACAACAACAACAACATCACATTCACTTGTGCCAATTCATCAACTAGTAATACTAGTGCCTCTACTAATAATACTAACTCTCAACAGTTAGGCCTTTTGAAGCAATCTGATCTTTTTCTCATGCAAGACCCATCTCTCACATTTCACTCTCTCCTTCAATCTCAGCCTAAATACCCACTACCCAATTCGTCCATTCTCGGCTCCAAAACTCAAGGCTCTTTCGGAATTCAATCGAACCATTCCAATCTGAAAATGGGTGCTCTGGATGAATTTGGTTTGGGTCATGGTGGTGGTGGGCATGTTAATAGCTCACAACTCAGTGGGCTTCCCAATTTGGTCTGCGCTGACGGAACTCCGGCCACACGAAACGATGATATTGATCCGATGAGGTGGGGGTGCGGAGCGGATACAAGTGATGGAAATCAAAGTAATTTGAGGTCTTTGAATGGGAACTTTGATTATTCTCGGAACCTTTTGAAAGGAAAGTTGAATTCTTCGTCGTCGGCTTCTTCCACTGATTTTCATGGCGAGAAGGCACAGGGAAATGGTGCTACTACTAGAGGTGAAGGTATGGTGGAATCATGGATATGTTCTTCGGATTAGTAATCTTTAATCAGACAAAAAAAAGGGAAAAAAAAAAAAAAAAAATTGATCATATCATAGAAAAGAAATGGAGATAATTATGGCGGTTTAGTTGTGAAAGATGAAAGAGGTTAATCATGTGTTTTCCATCTTAACCATTACTTTCAAGAAGGGTTTCAAATTCTGTGTAAATAATTGTCATTTTTTTTTTGTTTTTTTTTTTGGTTTTGGTCTGACTCTGCCATATATATATTACTGATGATATACATATATACCACTGTTGGATTTTCTTTCAAATAGTAAAATGCTGTTAGTGTTTGTTCCATGTGGGTTCCTTTCTGTTCATGAACGGGAGGATTTGACTGCTGTTATGAGAATGTATTTGTATCACAAAAATAACCAAATTCATCACTTGGCTTTGTCATGTGCATGTATCATGTTCTTCCTCGTACATTCCCTTCCTGGTTCCATCTTATCAGCAGAACAAGGATCATCTTCAGTTTTGTACTTTTGTCCGATTAAATTCTTTCTATTTTTTCTTTCTATATATTCAATTATTCATCATATTCATATTCACAGACACACTCGAACTTATATATATATATATATACACACACTTATATATATTAATCATAGTTTTAATTATTTTTATTTATTTTATGAATTCTGCCAGCTAGATTGATATGAAGAACACTTTCTCCTGTACTGAGTAAATATAATCTTCTCACATGGCATACATTTTGAGATTTTGTTGGTAGAAAGGGAATCCATTTCGAGTTGTATTAAGTTTGATCTCATTATAATGTGGGTCCCTAGTGAATGAACTTTAATTTTAAACTCTTTAGTTATATTATTAGATTTCAAACAAATATTAATAGACTAAAATTAAATGAAATTCGAATATGATAGACCTCCTACTTTGGATCTACACGATCTATGAGTTAAGATTAGTAATTACAAAACCCTACAAGGTCACGTTAGAGTACTATTGCATTTATATTAGCGAAGTAGATAGAGTTAAAATACCACATTACAAGCAAAAACGTGGTAGGCAACTATTATTTTTGTTCTCTAAAATATGTCCGTGAGAAACATGAGCGCGAGTGTTTTTTATTTAATTAAAAAAGACCTTTTTTTAGTTCTTTTTTTTTATAAAAAATGTTCTCGATTAGTTTTTGTTTATTTTTTGTTTTAAAGTTGGGGGTAGGGGCGGTAGCAGTAGACTTGATGGCTGTAAAGTGCTAGTTGGTGTCATTAGTGAAGAATTTGTTCAATTTGTCTTGGAATTTGTAATTAATGAAATAACTTGTAAAAATCATATTATTGCACTGTTCGGAAAAAATCAAATGTACACATTTTTATCTTTATGGTCGTCCACATTTTAAAGTTTCCTCTTAAAAATAGGTTGAAAAAAGAGTTTAAATTTGATTCACAGGTACAAGCTATAGTAAGCAATCTTTTGGACACGTATATTGAGAAGTCTCAGTATAGGGGTACAGAATGTGAACGTGTTGGGGCAGGAGTTCAAGTGCCAAAGTTTTGGATATTCTTCCTCATATATATATATATATATATATTATAGATGTTTTTAAAGTAGTCACATTACATATACAGTAGCAACCTGGCAAAGTCTAATGATCGTCAAACAACTGTGGCTTGAATATTTGGGGAAAATGAGATCAACCTGAGAATGATTTTCCGTGGTTTTGCACAGATTTTGTGAATTTGTCAAGAAAACTTCGACACGTCAATGTACAAAAAAACCTTGAGAATAACTTAAAAGGCTGTGCAGCTTAGAACATTTATTTTTCTACTAATTTAACACGCGCACACACACATATATATATACAGGCGAATAAATAAAATGTTTACATTTAGTTTAAGCTTGAGAAAATCAGCAGTGCTTTCTATCTATCTTTTATTGGAGGTAAACTTGTCTTAATCTGATTGGGAATTGTATTATGTATACGTACATTTGAATTAACAGGAAAAAAAAAAAGAAAAAAGAAAAAAAAAGGAGGGGTACTACAGACACATAAAATTGAGAATGATTAATTGTGCACGTAAATACCTCCTCCTGAACATGATATGCAGTTAATGGAGTGATTGGTTGTTGATAATGTCTAATCAAATTAAATATAAATGTACAACACCCAGCTTTTGCTAACACGGAGAAACGACAATCACTAATTACAAGTTGGAAGGGGACAGTATCCTTGTGCGGGTTCCTTATGCGGGAATTTGTTGATTCACTTTGGATGGTGTAGTTCAAACTTCAAACTCTGATTGTTGTAATTAAGTAATTAATTATTTTATTAATCCAAACTAAATCAACTGTTAAGAGGGTTAAAAAGAATGGGTAGTTCAATAGTTATCATATAATTAATCAAAATATGATCACCCTCTTCATTGAGTTTGTGAATAGTAGAAGCAATTATTTAAAAAGTGAAACAACCAACGGAAAAGAATTACTGAAACAGTGTCAGCTGTTTGGTGCAACCAGTGCTGCTAGTTGTTTTGGTTAGAATAGCATTGTCCACTATTTAAACACTCCCTTTGAACCAATTGCATGGTGAAATACTCGAGCATCAAGACACTTTTGTGTGTGTGTGTGTGTGTGTGTGTGTGTGTAAGTGGAGAGAAATCAGAGGCAAAGCAGGCAACCTTTACAACAATGGTGATCCATCTTAAAGTTGGTAATCTTTTGTCATCCCGCTGATTGATAGATCATGAACTTTTTCACTTCAATTATAGACCCTCCACCTTGGTTTAAATTTTAGAATGATGAGAGAGAGAGAGAGAGAGAGAGAGAGAGAGAGCAGTGACTTTATTTTCAAAATTTTGGAATCATTCCTCTGCTGGGAGGGATATGATAACCATAGGTTTGTGTGACTTTTTTCTAGCTATAAATAAAGCATCGAATAAAATTAAAATTGTTGTCTTGTTTATGTCACTGTTCCAAACAATTGTTTTACATATTACTGTTTTATTTTTCCGAATTAATAATAAAATTCAAATGATTAACCATGGGATTTTGGGAGATTTAAAGGGCCAGGCCCTTTCGAGTGAGGGCTTCGTTACCTGTGTCATTCTTTTAACATCATGGTGGCCCATGCCATCGATTCACCTTTGGTTCTTCGCAATGATGGCTCTTGTTGGCCTCACACAGTACTACTCACTCACTCCTCACAGCCCACAGGGCTATGCCAGTGTGTCATCAAACACCATACTATACTCTCTCTCTCTCTCTCTCTCTCTCTCTCTCCTCTGCATTTATGCCCTAAAATTTTGAGTTGAAACTTTAAAAAGTTAGAGACCTTTTGGCAACCCCATCAAAAGATTGGCACCATCTCTTAAATTGAAGCTATCCCTCAATTGAAAAAGAATATATTCGAGTGCTTATATCAGAACAAGACAAAATAAAGTTTTCCATATATATATTTTTTTATGGATTCTATGGTTGGTTGGGGGGCATGATGAAGACTTTAATATACTTTTCATATATATATATGTTTTTTTTTTTTTTTTTTTTTTGTAATTTCACTTTTATAATTCTTTAATTCTTATTTCAATTTCCATGTTAGTATCAATTTTCATGAATTGTACCGCATTTTAGGCTAATATTACAAATTAAGAAGCTTCACATATAAAGACCTCCAAAATCAAAATATTAATTTGCACAAATCACTAAAACGTTATAAAGAAACCTTAATTTTCATGTTGTTATATTTTTTATATGTGAATATAAATCTGTTTTGAATAAATATTTTATAGTACTTGTTTGTGTATAAAGAAATTCATTACTTTTGTGTCCCATTTGTTATCACCAATTTCATAAAGAAAAGAAAAGAAAAGTGTTAATTACGTCTCATCTAACGTCAGGCCCACCTCATGCTGACGTGTTTGTGTGGGGTCATCTAATTGAGGCGGGAAAGTACACGTGTACTGTTGACGGAGGTGGCACACATGGGAATATCATCAGTTAACGTGTCGTGATCACAAGGCCCGGTCTGCCTCAAATGGGTGGGACCCTCCATCATTTCTCCTAGGCCAGTGCTAGTGTGGTTTATTACCATTGTTGCCCCTCGGCTCGAGTGTACGGTAGCTAATTGACAGGTGACACCGACACACCTTATGATGGGGACGACTTTGGTACATAGCATGCCATCGACTTTTCCAGTTAAAAGAATAATTATTTGAATAAAACATCAAAAGGTATTATATAAATTATTGCAATTTGCCCCCTCATGATAATCAAATTGCAACCTTTTCAGCAACTGAGCGGTACAAATTGCAATTATTGCAAGAGTTTTTTTTTTTTTTCTCTCTTTATTTAAATTTTTTTTTTGGTAATGAACTAAAAAAAAGAAAAAGAAAAATACGATGCTAAAGTCAATTGTTTAAAATTTTAAATGTAGCAGAAGGGGGAAAAAATCCTGAATGAAAAGATTTACAGCCCTTAAATTCATGAAAGTGGGCCTGAATAACGGTGTAGTCCAACAGCCCATTCCAAATATCAAGTGTCTGTTGTTAACATGGTTAGCCAAGCCCATTATGTAGGCCTAGAGTGATGTAAATTGTGTGCTATTTTTCTCTCTTTGCTTTCCTTCATTTCAAACACTGCGGTTTTGGTTGTTTCATTATTGCTTTACTATATTAAATTTATATCTTAATTTCAAACACTGCGGTTTTGGTTGTTTCATTATTGCTTTACTATATTAAATTTATATCTTAATATGAAGGTTGACGTACTTTAAAAAAATCCAATCGAATTATTATAAAATAATTCATATCATACCATTTAATATATGAACAATCCGAACAAATTATAAACACGACAAATAAGACAGCAGAAGAGCAATTATCAAATTGTAAGTTCACTTATACTATTATACCTAATCTAATCCAAATCAAAAGACAAATATTTTAATAAAGTTTCACACTGATTTATATTCCTCACTTTAAACTTAAAAAGACAAAAATAATTTGTTTATGTGGAGGCCAATTGTAACGGGTGGGATTCATTAACCTAAAAGTTAAAGGTATTAGGTAGTGTTGTATATTCACCAATCTATACTCAATCACTTTTTCATTCGGATCCGATGTAGGACAAATGACCCTTATTACATTCTCCCCCACCCAAACTCGTAACGCCCTCGTTGCGGCTTGGGCCACCTTACCTACTCGGATGAGTTACCCGGGCGCCTTTCGGGTCAGGCGCTTAGCGTTGCATCGGACCATTTATACTTCTTCTTATATATATATATACTTATACATTTTTCCATCCGAATCTGATACGAGACAAGGTTTTCCTTATACATTTTTAGTGTGGTATAAGTTTTCAATTACAACAATCTCTTACATCCGAACTCACAACCAAGGCGGCTCACCCCAAACACTTGTCGTTGCATCGGATCAAGAATTGAATTTGGTTATGATACTAACTGTAACAGATGATTATTTGCCCATTTATTTAAAAATTTAAATTATTAAATAATATTATATATCCATTTATCTATACTCGTACATTTTACCATTTAAATTATACGTGGAACAAATTTGCCTGGGTCTTATTGGGTGTCCCATTCTTTCCCAAAGAGGCAACTCACAACTGTCTTTCTCTCTCCATTGCTTTCCTTAAAAATAGCAATTTACAACCGAGATCAATAAGTAGGGCCACACCTACATCCACTCCCACTTTCACCGGATCCATCCTTCAGACATATAAATAAATAAATAAAAACATCCTTCTCCCCCACTCTGTCTCCCTTAAAAAATACAAAAAGGAGAAGAGAGATCTGAAACAAGAGAGAGAGAGGGGTCACAGAAATGAAGCTGAAGGAGATGAGATCAGAGACGTTGACTCTGATGCTGGTGAATCTGGCTGGTATAATGCAGCGGGCCGACGAGTCTCTGCTACCAGGAGTGTACAAAGAGGTTGGTGCGGCCCTACACACTGACCCAACAGGCCTGGGCTCACTCACTCTCTTCAGATCCATTGTACAGTCCTTGTGCTACCCACTCGCCGCTTATCTGGCTATTCGTCACAACCGTGCCCACGTTATCGCCCTCGGCGCTTTTCTCTGGGCCGCCGCCACTTTCCTCGTTGCCATCTCCTCCACATTCTTACAGGTCCCTCCCATCTCTCCCTCGCTAGCTCTACATATATAATATGTATATATATATATATATGCACAAACATACTCATTGGGAATATGTTTTGATATAACTGAACTGAGAGATGTATGTGCTTGTCATACATAGATTATGTGTAGCATAGAAGAACATGGTTATGTTTATAAAGTTTCTAGAGTTTTTTTTTTTTTTTTTGTTCATGGCTAGATTTGAGATTCAAAGACAACAGTTGACTTTTGTCTGTTTAACTTAGATAGGAGATGTGTCAATCTTTATATTTGGAGTAAGATTATGATGTCTTGTGTTGTAAAGATGTAGCTAGGTGCATATGAAATTTAAGTGACATGATAGGAAATGGTGTGTTAAGGAGAGTGAGTGTGGCGTAGGCTTATGAAATGTGGGCACTAATGAGATGATGATACTGATTTTGTGCTCTGCTACTGATTTACACTATTTAGATTTATTAACATGTATGAATTATGATGAGATCTATAGCTTCAAATAGAAAACCCCGTAAAAGTTATTGCCATTAATGAATGATAAGGCTAGTGTTAACATATTTGGATCGATGCAAAATAAAATTAGTACAAATGGGCGCTTGCATTTGTTTTGCATTTAATAATTGAGACACAGAAAAATATTCATAGAGAGATCATGGCTAAACCCAAAAATTTCATTAATTCTTAGCCATCTAACTGAAGAATTCATTTATGGTTCAACATTAAACAAACTCCAAACAACTGTTTAATAAGATATTTCCATTAATGGATTTGAGGCTTTGCCACCCTCTTAGAAAATGTAGCTTTCTTGGAATTAATTAACTGCATCATATGATAAGTATTTAATTGTGTCAACTGGTGATTCAGGTGGCGATTTCAAGAGGATTGAATGGAATAGGACTTGCCATAGTCATACCAGCTATCCAGTCCCTTGTTGCTGACTCAACTGACGAGAGCAACCGCGGTATGGCTTTTGGATGGCTACAATTGACAGGAAACCTTGGCGCAATTCTAGGTGGCCTATGTTCTGTACTGATAGCCTCAACATCATTCATGGGTATACCCGGGTGGAGAATTGCATTCCATCTCGTTGGACTAGTAAGTGTTATCGTTGGCATTTTGGTCCGCATCTTTGCCAATGATCCCCTCTTTATCGATACTAGTAAAGCTAAAGCTCAAAATCCAAATAGTTCCTTTTGGTCAGAAATGGAGGACCTGATTAAAGAAGCAAAATCAGTTATGAAAATTCCGACTTTTCAGATAATTGTAGCTCAAGGTGTGGCAGGATCATTCCCCTGGTCAGGTTTCTCATTTACCCCTATGTGGTTAGAACTTATTGGCTTCTCTCATAAAACAACAGCATTGCTCTGGACTCTCTTCATTATCGCTACTTCACTTGGAGGTCTGTTTGGAGGAAAGATGGGGGACATCCTTGCCAAGCGCTTACCAAACGCTGGGAGAATAATCCTGTCACAGATAAGTGCTGGTTCAGCCATCCCTTTAGCAGCAATACTACTGCTTGGGTTGCCTCATGATCCTTCAACGGCATTTATGCACGGTTTAGTCCTTTTCATCATGGGATTAATCACATCTTGGTGTGCTCCGGCCACAAACAAGTAAGTCTTCAAATTAATATAATCATTTTTCCGCATGTTTGTGATAAACAGATTTTTAATTTTGATTTTTAAATTTAAGCTTCTTCTAATATCTCTCAAATTCAAAATGGCTCTTGCATGGCACGAGCAAAGGTTTTTGATTGCACCCCAAAGGAATTATAAATAAATAATGAAACTTATGAATAGAGATATTTGTTAGCTAGGAAGGATGACTGCATAACCAATTTGGAGGAGAGTAATGATTCACTCCCTTCAATATGTTCTGTTCATCACTCCCTCCTGTAAATATACCGAGGTATAGATCACCTAAATGCCACTGAACGAATTGTAGCAGCCTATTTCTTTCCACAATGATGGAACCGGAATGTACATCACTCACCCCTGTTTGAAAAAACTCCTATATATCCTGATAGAAAGACCCTTAAATTTAGTCATAATCATCATAGCTACAAATTCATTTGCTGAAGAGACGTCTTTTGGATGTGTAGTCTTATCCTTGTGAAAATTAGACTGCAAGTTAGTGATATTCTTTACGCATTTTGTGAGAACACATAAAATTGTGGATTTCGTTTTTAATTTTTGACTGGCCAGCCAACAAGCAATCTTTTGTGACAGCAGACAATTCCCTGCTTGAAGCATGACTGGACTATAAACTTGTATTAATTGCTTCCTAAAAACCTATCAGGTATGTACTTTTGAGCAAAGATGCATGTTCTCCGGATGGTGTTTCTTCATTAACTGCAAAACTAGAACCGTGTGAGCATGAAAAACTGAAGAGAGCAGCCTGCTCCTTGATTTAACTCTTTATTATTCGGTATTATTATTCAGGTCAATATCATCTGACATTCTCACTGACATGATCTTGAATGGTAGAAAGCTCTAAAAGCATGTCCATAAAGGAGGTCATCTGATAAATCCTCCTAAGTCTAGAATTGTGGCTGTTTCTGCTTCTTGCCAATCCATTGTTACTGCATGCAGCTATGTTAAAAGCGTGGAATGTGAATGTAGAGTAATCAAGACCGGACCATTATTTAGTTATGTGTCGCAATGGTCATATTAGAAATTTGTAAAGCTATTTAACCATTCATTATTAACATGTGTACAGTCCAATATTTGCAGAGATTGTTCCGGAGAGATCTCGAACATGCATCTATGCTTTGGATATGTCTTTTGAGTCAATATTAACATCATTCTCTCCTCCCCTAGTTGGAATTTTGGCTCAGCATGTTTATGGTTATAAACCAATTGCAAAAGGATCAACAAACTCGGAAGAAATTAAAATGGATAGAGAGAATGCTGCACCACTTGCAAAGGCATTATACACAGCGATAGGCATTCCAATGGCAATCTGTTTCATTATCTACTCCTTCCTCCACTGTACATATCCGAGAGACCGGGAAAGAGCAAGAATGGATGCTTTATTAATAGAGTCAGAGATGCTGCAAATAGAGTCACATAACAGTCCTTCAAGAGAAGAATACTCTCAACTTCGTGTTGCAGAATTAGATGAGCCACACACAAAGGAAAGAAGTGTGATTGAAATAGATTATGAAGGAGTGGAAAGCCTTGATCTTGATGAGAGTGATGAGAAGAGACTACTTTCCCGTCAGTTGTCATTCTCAGATCCAGGCAAGTAATGGACTCAGTCAATAGAAGCTCGTTGAGTAAATCATATTACTCCTCATCAAAAGTGGAATGATTGGAGGAAAGCATAATCCCTCATTTTTGTTTTTTATTTTTTATTTTTTTCCTTTTTGCTTTTCTTTTCTCTCTCTACAACTGAGAAGAGACAACTTGTATGGCACGAGCAAATACACGAGACCATGACCAAACTACCCAAGACAATCTTGAATAAAGGAAACTCAGATTTATTCGAACTTTTATGATTAAGGATGACTTACAGAGTCAGGTTATTCATTGGTAAGCATTCATATATTTCATTTAGCAATCAAAAGAAACATGTCTATTTAAAGAAAGAAGAATTAATATATGTACATTAAGACAAATCCATTTAGCTACTCTTACAATATACCCCAAAATGAAATTAAATTTTTTGTCCAATTAAGTGTCAAACATATACTTTCCATTCACTCACATAATAGAATTCACTCACATAATAGAGAATTAGCTGTGTATAAATAAATGTGATCATCATACCCAGTAACTACTTCCATGCACAGTAGATAGAAAATTGAACCCCAAACACCTTTTTCAGAAAGAGACAATTGAGAATTAAACACTGTTTTCAACATCACTTCTGGTCTTATTCAACAGGTTTCCTTAACATTAAAGTTTCGAGGCGGACACTCACCCATCTCTTTTGAACACTACACCCACTGTACTATTCACTAGCTACACTACACCCACTGTACTATTTATAGGCCCTTGCTAACGGATGATTGGGATATACAGGCCTATAAAACTCTTTGCTTCTCTAAAACATTCTTTACCCTACACACTACCACACCATTCTAGAATCCTCCAACACCTCACACAATTATGAAAGAATCTAGAACTTAATTCCTTTGGCGGGGAATGACAAGCTACTTCCTTCTACTAGACAATATTCAAAATAATAGGTTAAGTAAATTCACAATGCCACTCCAAACCACCACTTTTTTTCAAAAACTTTTTAAAAAACTCAATCATTTCCTGCTTTTCATAACTGCCAACATTAAATCTTAATATAAAAGTTTAAATTTTAGAATTTGCATAACCTTAAGAGTTTACATGCAGCAGCAGGTGGAACATAATCAATAGATTATGCAAACAAATCTTCACTTCATAAAATAGGATAAATGTTTTATTTTTTTGGTGAGTTAAAATTTTTTTTTCTGTAAATAAAATAGGATAATTGTTTGAAATAGAAAATAAGTTAAACTTGATTCATTTGCTAGTCCACCTACATCGGAATTGGATCTAAATTAAAAGTGAATATTCTAAAGAAGATCCACATGGGTTTTGTTAATAAATTTAAGGAATAATTTCACTGACACCCTCAATAGTTTGGTCAAATATCAGTTTAAAACATTTTTCGAAAATAATTATCACTCACATTACAAACGTTTGCTCCGTTTTTCACTCACACCCCAAAAGTTAGTTTACAGATGTGTCAGACCACTTTTTACATGTAAAAAGACATTTTTACCCTTTGACTTTAGTTTGACCCTGACTTTGGTATACCCTCATTTTTTTAATTTATTTTTTTACAATATGGCCCCTTAAAAATTTGTAAACTTACAAATTATATTATATATACAGACAGACATATATATACTCCTACACACACACACACACACACACACACAAGCACAACACCACCACCAAATACAGCGGCGGAGTCGTTGTCGAATCCGACAACGGCCGCTCATTCGCCGTCAAAGTCGACTCTCCCACCTTCCAAACCGATGTCTCCCTCGCCGCGACCTCATCTGCAAGGTCGCTCGGATCCTCCAATCCTCATCATCGGACCATTTCCTCGACCTCTCCGACTACCTCCAAGACCCGAATCTGTCTCGCTGGATCTCCAAGACCCAGTCATCTCCCTCTTCGCAGAGCTCGTCTCCGCTGGATCTACCGCCACCGGATCTGTCTCGCCGGCGCCATCAACATTCTCACAGCCATCTTCGCTCTCCATCTCCAAGCTCGCCGTTGCCATTACTCCACCACCGAGCCGAGCTCTTCACTGCCGAATTGGAGTTGTCATCTCTCCCGCTAATCCACTCGCTACCAAGTCCCGCGAATCCTCCTCCAGTCGCCCCTCGCCGGTTCTCTCAAACCCAGATAATCGGTATATATATAGTTCTCACTGCCGATTCAGTCCACCGAGCTCGGCTGTGGTCGACGAGCAAGGGTCTTCAGACGGCAGCCGGCGAGCAAAAAAAGCTTAGCTCGCTCTCTCTCTCCCAGCAACAAGCACTCGTCCTCACCGTCGCCGCCCTAAACCATGTTGCCGCTTCTATCGCCTGAAGTTTCCATAGTCGTCGGCGGCACCACCACCACCACCATCACCCCATCATCACCGACCACCAACCACCAACCACCAATCTCTCTATACACTTTCTCTCTCTTCTGCAACACACCACCCACCACCAAAAAAGCCTTAACTTTTGGAACCACCACCCACCACCACCACCATGACGACCAACAGTTCCATCTACCCAATTGTCGGGATATAATTGTCTTTTAATTAATATGATATTTTGAAATAAATGTTATTAAAAAAATAGGGGCAAAGTTGTCTTTTCACATGTTTTTAACGGAGGCTGTAACGGAAAATCAAAATGGACCTAAGTGATAGTTATTTTCGAAAGATATTTTAGACTGATATTTGACCAAACTACTGGGGGTGTCAGTGAAATTATCCCTAAATTTAATTTTAAAATACAATTTATTAAATAATAAAATGAATTATTGATTGAATAAAATATTTCTCAATCACAAGTTAGTCACTTGTCCGACCGCAACATTTCCCAATCAGCCCACATGGAGTCACTTGCGTCCAACCAAATCCAGATTTGCACCAATACCAAAGGATAATATACAATTTTATGGTGAAAAACACTGACGAACTAATGACTCCCATTCCAACCATGACGAAGTAACAAATGGTTGCAAGGGAGTTTTGGACCGGTTTGTTTGGCTAATATTTTTTCTTCATATTTATTTTTACTTTTGTTAGTGTATTGTAGTAAAATAAAAACACGAAGTATGTTTGATAATGTTTGTTGTCATTTGAATAGTATCGAGCACTTTCAAAATTGAAATCAAAATCAGAAACATCAAAATGATGTTTTTGTTTACTTCCGCACTGTAGCAAAGCACTATTCAAAATTATTATTATTTTTATTTTTCTAAATTAACATTTTAACTAGCCATTCAAAATTTCAAATTTATAACACTTTTTACCAAACATGCTCTCATGTTCTTACTTTCAAAAATCTTATAACAAATTTACGTTATCAAACAAATTTCGAAATAGTGTTGAACACATTCTAAAACAAAAATATTGTTTATACTTCAAGTCAAAACAAAACAACAAAACAACTGTAGTTGTCAAACCGACCCTAATATGTTGTTTTTTTTGTAATAATAGCTTTGCTTCACTCCATACCAAATTAAACAATATTTGCCATATTTGATGACCAAAGCATCAAATGGTTGCAAGGCACCTTATCCCTATGGCTGCAAATGAACCGAGCTGTTCACGCTGTTCATGAACAGCTCGGTCGGCTCAGGCTCGTTCGTTAAGCAAACGAGCCGAGCTCGAGCCCAATTTTTAGGCTCGTTTAGGAAACGAGGCGAGCCCGAACAACGTTAGGCTTGACTCGTATGGGCTCGTGAACAAGGCTCGTTTGTTAACCCATTTATAAGTTCTTGATCTAGCCCATACGTGTGAGTCCATTACAATTATACATATAAGCCCATTTGAAAACCATTACTATAATCTAATAATAAAGCCCCAAAAAAATGACCCATATTCATTTTAAAGACCCAACCCACTTATGTAACTTATGTTAAAAAACAAACCCTATTCAACTTTCATTGACGAAGTAGCGGTAACCCCTCATCTTCTCTACTCCGTATTATCTTATTTTCTTCTCTGCAACGATTCTGAAGGTATGTATGTGCATATATATATATATATATATATATATATATATATATATATATATATATATATATATATATACTAATTTGTTTTGTATTATATATGCTTGTATATATGTGTGCTGTGCATATATAGGTGCACTATATATGTGTGTGTGTGTGCTGTGTATCTATTTACACGAATCTGATTACACAAAACTGTTCTTTTTTACTGGTTCTTCGTTTGTTCTTGTATCCTTTGAGAACCTCCCCAATATGTGCACAGACGAACCTGAACCGAACCGAGCCGAGCCCGAGCTCGTCGATTTTCTGATGAGTCGAGCTGAAGCTTGGTTATTCTAGGCTCGCCCGAACTCGAGCACCTCCCTAATTGTGGCGAGCCGAGCTCGAGCATGTTAAAGCTCGGCTCGGTTCATTTACAGCCCTACTTATCTGGGTGCAGTTTAGTCTCGTCTATGAATGTCTTGTCTGGATCTTATATTGTAGTATAGAAATTCAATACGAATATAATGTGCTAAAATTAAATTTAAATGTGTTGTAATATCTTTTCAATATCATTATTTTTAATTTCAACGCATTTAAATTGTGATTCATTACATTTTTTCTATTTGTGTGTTAAAATTTAAAGCAAGTATGTTGAAACTAAATTTAAATGCATTAAAAAAAATGCTACAATAAATTAATGGGTGTTACAACTTACAACAAAGGATTTATAGATATCACTGTCATGCACGGACCTATATAGTAGTGAGTGGGGGCAATTATTATTATTATTATTTTCTTAGAGCACGTGTATCGGCCCCACGACGTATGCACCATTCAAGTTAGGAATACAGTTCGAAAACGGTATCTCAAGGACATACCTCTGGGAGTGGGGACAATTGCCCACTGATTTTTTAGTTTTTGATATTATATAAGTTACCGATTCTTTTATTTTGTATTATATAATCACCTATAAAATTTAAAAATTACCCGCAGCCACTGATACACTTAAGGATAAATTACACTCGGACCCCCTGAGGTTAGGTTATTTATCAGCTAAATTAACATTTTGGTTTTAAATTTCACTTACATTTGAATTAGTGGTTTAACATTTCAGTTACACCCCAAATGTCAATTTTTGGTAGAGTGCTTTTGAGATGTTAAATGACTATGGTACCCTTTGACCTCCTGTTGACTATTTTTGTGACTAAACTACCCATCTTCTCATTTTCTTCCTCCTCAAACCATCATCATCTCAGAAGGAAGGTTCTTTGTATCACCCAGTTTATCGCTAGCCAAATTTGACGCCTCACAGGCAGCATTCTTTGATGCCTCTGCTCAAAAAATGAAAATGT